AGCGTGAATTCTAGGGTATTTGGAGCTTGAGCATATGAAGCTTTCATTCAAGTTCCCCTCTTCAGCGGGGATGTCAGTGCGTGCGGTCCCAAGAGACAATTCTACTAATATGAAGGGCTGAAGAAAACGGAGAATCCCCACAATGACAGAGTTAAGAGTAAATTCAGATCAAAAGACACGCTAACTTATCTCAAAAAACATCTCCGATATCAATTAAATTCAGCTTGGTGGATTTTAGAATACGAAGCTTGCATCTTGAAATTGGAATCACTGCAATGCAACGATTAAAGCGACAGCTACTGTGGCTACGCAGCGCGGTCTGTGTTACTGTTAAAGACAGACTTTGTAGGCACTGAAACTCCAAGTAACATAGACTTCTATCATACCTAGCAAAAGGAGACTATCTAGCATGTTGTTGGCCTATGTTCTTTAAACAAAAAGTTATCTCACAAACGGCACTGATCGTTTTTCTTAATGTTTGCAATAAACTTCTCAAAGAATACTTTTGAGTGTGCAAAGGCAAACAAATTGCAAACTGCAGAGACAGCCCTCGCAGTTTCTTTGATGTTACAAATGTTCTAAGTCAAAGACAAAAGGCTGTTGGTGACGTAAATGCATACGATCTTGATGTTTGTGTCCTGAACAAAAGAAAATTTCCTGCTCTTGCATCACAAAGTGTCCTTCAGCGACTTCCGAGAAACGCGTTTCAAAGTTCCTTGCTTACGTAAGACAGTTGTAAAGTGGCAGCGTTAGCCAAACACACAAAAAAATGCGGCCAACTTCGGTGGGCAACACATGGAAAGTGATGCAAAGATCTTCATAGCGTACGTCTTTTCAGCTTTGCACATCAGAAATGAGTTCGGCAAGCCTAGCACACTCTGTTGTGCACTAAGAGACTAAACTCTTTAAACTAATTCTTTAAATGTTCTACACATCAGAAGTTTACTTAAAAGCGCATTTGTCTCTAATGGAGGGCGATCTAAAAACTAACAATTGCTTTTTTTCTATGAATAGAGAAGAATGTTCAGCAAGGACAGAATACAATGAGATGAAAAACAATGACGGTCTCACTGTTGTAGTGCCATATATATTACCACATGAACAAAATTACATTACAACTTCAAGTGGTTCTTCACAAAAGGTTGCTTCTCTTTACGAACTACTGCATCTATTCTACCGTTTTGATTTTTTTGTGTAAAATGAACACATTCCTTTGCAAGAGATATTCAAGGCAGCTCTAACATGTTTGCCGACGAAGCTGTGCATTAACTTTTATAATGTGAACGAAGAAAGTGTTACAGTAATATACAAAAAAACCAAATTTTAATTTACAATATTTTCATTTTCTCCCATATTAGGGTTGCTTTAAGATAGTCTACTTTCAAAGGTGGAGGTGGGCAACAAACATCAAATCAAATACCAACTTCGTACTTTCAAAGGTGGAGGTGGGCAACAAACATCAAATCAAATACCAACTTCGTCAAACATTAGTATAAGGACTCGAATAGTGTTCAGAAACAAAGGTACATCACTAACTTGTCTTGCTTATATTTGTAAGAATGAGCAACAAGCAACATCTTGATGATTATTGAGCCGATTCTATGTTCAAGATAGTCCTACAATCTGAAGTACCATACTCACAGTACCGTTCTAGTGCTTTCATTTCTATGCTTGAATGTGTAAGATACAAGTGAGTAAATGATCACAGAAAGATCAGAACATGATAAGACTCTTTTATTTTGACTTCGGAACGCAAAGAGTTACTACCATATTTAGCCATTGTAGACAATCATACAATGCGTGTTGTATTACAACGAACTTCAAGCAGATTTATTGAGATGATATTTTTGAAATCAGTTTGCATAATGCGAATGAAGTTAGCACTCAACTTTTTAGCCCGTCTTTGAATGATTAAGAGTATTTTCAGGCATTTCACTTCAAACTAACAAAAGTTTTGTATCTTTGGTACTTTAAAAAATTAAAAAATTTAAAATCAAAATTCATTTGATGCCCCTACGCACATATAACTTCGCATCAGAATTAGCTATCATGGTTTCTTTAAAATTAATACAATTACAATTACAATCTTTATCTGAATATGATCACAATCCAAGCGCATCTTCTATCAATGTCTGATGTCATAGAGGCACCACGTCAGCAGACTTCTATGCCCCTAATTGATGATTTGTTATGTTCATTGAGATGATGACTCGCTATTTTTCGCTCAGCACTGAGCAAATTGTCAAATTTTTAGGAGATCTGGTTTACACTCTTGTCTGAAATGTGAAAAATATAGTTCCACTTTTGCCGTGACGCCATGGCGCTACGCTTCAGTTCTTTGGTGCCCTCTTTAGGAGAGTCTTGGCTGTAATTTGGTCCGTAAGAGATGGCCTCTATGTATAGGCTGCTGCATGACGAAGGCGCAAAACCTTCGGGCGCGAACGCGGCTTTATTAGCCGCAGAGCGCATGAGGCGCAAGATTGGCAACGGTGAAGATACGCGCGCGAAGCGTTTGCGCCCGCTTAATTAATACTGCTTCTGCGCCTTCGCCATGCAATAGCTTTTATGTAAGTCTTCGACGTAGTTGCGCTATCTCCATTACATCGTCTTAGCAGTGACAGAAGGTGGTTCTTCAAGATGAATAAACCTAAGCTAGCAGCGCACTTGGATTTTGACCAAATCCTTGTCTCTCAGCACCAAAACCTCATTCCATTTGGTAAGGAAAATCACAATCACCTTTGCCACAGCCTGCATTAAGACTGATCAAAATCAAGCGATAAAGATAACTACCATTCATGCCTGTATATGACCAAGCATAGAGAGTGTATTCAGTTTATGCCAATTACTTGGTAGATTTTGGTAATCTTCCATGTTATCGGCAGTGCTTTTCAGCAAAGCCTAATAGGTACTGAAAAGACCTATATCAAAAATTATCAGAGCCACTGATCACATTTCAAGTAAATCTCCATGAAACCTTAAGCGCCAAGATATGTCTACGCTACGGACCTTTCCCTTACTTCTTGTTTGGAAACAAGAAGGAAAGTAAACCGAAAGCGTGTAAAAAGAGCTTCAGGAGCTATCGCAAGGTGATTAACATGGATTACCGATATGTATTAAATAATGTCAGAGTGTAGATAGTTCAAAAGAATACCAAGTCATTGAAAATTTCCTGCCTTTCTTACCACCTATTGCAGATCCAACATAATCAGGACAGACAAGGTATGCGCCGCTTAATGAAAATCTCTCCCAACGTCCAGCTAGTAATGTTTCTGAAGCTATTCTTCTAACGAGCGCTGAGAAAAGTATTTTCAGTTACCCACCCGTTCTTAAAGAGTTTAAATTTGAAGATTTTGCTCTACTAACTGAAGTGAGACTATCACTGAAGCTTGATAGCCAGTAGAAAGGGTAAAAAATGTTTTGCAACTCAATATTTTTGCATTTGGGACACAGCAGTAGATAATCCTTTGCAAATAAAACCTGCATATAGAACCTATCTATTTGGAGGGCAAAATTCAATTTCGCTTCATTCAACCCGTAACATATGTTGGTGAGCAATTTGTTTAACATGCGATGCAAATCTTATTTTTTCCTTTGTTCAATAATAATGACGAGCTTTCATTTCCTAAGTGTAGTAAACAAATCAATTGTTTTTTAGAAAGGCCCAGAAATTTCCTGCTAAGAGTAGTCTAAAACATCTATGCGTTTTATGCAAAGTGTCATTCATTGAAACTGATATAAGCGCCCAGCTATCTGCTTCAAAGTAGCTCAAATCTCCGATCTCCGAGGTCAACATTTGTGTGCAAACAGCTCAATCGCTTTATATACAACGTCATCAGTAGCAAACATGCACCTTAACTTTGGGGAAGGCTGAGTTTCATGTGCGCATAGATATATTTTCAACACTGGAAACGCTAGAGCGATTTTGAGCTATCATGGCTAATAGATAATTTTGGTCGCTTTCACGGCTATCATAAATGCTGCAGGCAGATTTGTCCACTGTTTGGTCTTGCTTGGAAAGAGCTGTTTCAGTAGAATCTATTTCTTCATGAAGAAAAGAAGCAAAGCAGTGAGTATTCCAATTTTCACATTGTGCGCAATGGTGTGAAATTGGTTTTAGTCTAAATGATTTCAAAGTGGTAGTGCACAAATTTTATGGCTACGCTAAAAAAACTTGTGTGTATCCAGATATCAAATTCTCTTTACATCCATCACAGCATGGAAGAGAAGCTCGAAAATTCCAAAAAAAAACTGAGCCCTTAGACATTTAGCCACAATAGGGCATAATTGTCTTTGCTGATAATAGATAGAAAATTCTGAGTAGTTGAGCTATGGTAATAGAGTATTTGAGCTACTTCTTCTCAAAAATCATATATGGGAAACTACAAGAAAAATTTCTATGGAGATTTTTATGCCAAAACAAAATTCTTTTTTAGTAAAACTAAAAACTAATGAATTTAAGATTCTGTAGGCTAATGCAGCTTCTCTAACGTGAACTCATTTGAGAGAATATTGATTGAAGCTATTTGCCTTGAAGACAAAACTTCCAAAGAGCTCGTTATCGAGCATACGTAAAATTGAACATCCCTTTGTTTAAACAGGAGTTCTATCAGAGTTCGAAACATGTTTGAATCTTGTCTTTCTCATAATGAGCGAAAATTTGGAGCGTTTGAGAAACTTTCCAAAGGCCACTGTCTATGCGCAATCAGAGGAATGGCTTATGCACACTTGGCAATGAGTTTTTTTTTGCCTGGAAGGAAATTCTGTAAAACTCATGCATGCACATATTTCTTCACGTTGCTGTGTAGACTGAATTTATGAACCGCGTAAATGTCACAGTATAGCCGAGATATCAAATTGGCAGAATCTGATTGTATTTTGATAAAGAAATCTATTGTCGGTGCAACATGCAGTTCAACTCCCTATGAGTAGTCTTTTTTGGCTTCATGTAAGCACATAGAAATTTGTGACATCGACTGTGATAGATCTTATTTTTTGTAGACCGAAATCTCAAACGAAGTTCTTGCAGATGTCAGCAAAGCTACTCTTAGCTGTGATTGTTCTCGTGGAAGTTCTTTTTGTCCAAAGCCAATTTTTTGGCTCACCATTTGGCATGTACCCGGGTATGATGGGTTATCCGCCTATGATGGGATATCCGCCTATGATGGGATTTGGAAGGACAAGTAAGTCAGCTAATTCTCGAAAGCTTAGATACGACTACGAATAAACTTATCGAGCTTGCTCACATATGTTTATTTGGTAAAATGTTTACTTTGAAATCTCAAACCTAGTAAGCAAGTATCTTTTGGTGCTAAAGTCTATAACTTACCATTCAGATCCGCTGACTGGGGCCCTGCTTGGTGGACTGATGGGCGCTTTATCTGGATAGTCAAGAGTTAGACTTGAAACGTCATCTCCTAACTCATGTATTATTACAAAATATCTTTTTCTGTATTGTATGATTGTATACGCATCGTTCACACTCACGATCAGTCAATTCAGCTGTATGCGACGTTCTCATCGTTTGCAATTCGATCGTTAAATCTTTGAAGTCTTATGAACGCACTCGCGCAAAATTTTCCACATGTAATCACCGACAATTTTACGCTAACATCTGTACATACGAAAAATCATTGATTCTTGGATCTTTACACAATCATCTCTTTACCATGCAGAATTCTTGTCGATAAATTTTGAACGACATCCACAATGTTACGGGCAGATAATCAATTCAATTTACTGCATCAAAACTACACAGGTATTGCTTAAGACAAAGCAACTTCAATCACTTGTCAATCAGATCGTAATTACTTTACATACAAGCAGTGAAAACCAGGAGTTAAATAGGACAACTAGTACGCGAAAACAGTATAAAGCGAAAAAAGACGACTAGTGGCTGATCTGTCGGTCTGTAAGAAGGTCTGTTGCGAAATGCAGTGAGGAATGATCTACATCGCTGCAATGCATGTGAGAACTGTATAACAAGTATGGTTCATCTTTGTGTTTACCTAGCGGTTCCTCGATCGAAGAACGGTTGGGAGGCCGCTGGTGGATTTATAAAATGTCCGGATGTGGAAACAAGTCATTTTACTGGATGTCTCAGAAGTCTGTAGGCCTAGTATTTTTTTCAACTAAAATAGTACGAAGCAACTTGGGCCATGAAGCTCAACATATCGTTTGTGGAGAACCTACAATAACACAATTGTGCACTCAGATTTCGAAAAAACTCTTCTTTTGGCCCACATATGGGCCTCAAACGCTTGCTGAACTCATACACAGGCCTTCAAAAGCTTGCGAAATTCATGCACCATGGCAGACAGGAACATGACATTCTCACAACTTCTCAAGCATGCTTTCCAGATCATCATCCTATTTTTGTGTACGGAGTAGAGCAAGACTTGTTCGCGATTGATGTCTTTTCAAACGCTCTATCATTGCAATAAGGGTACAAAATCTAGTCGTGACTCAACCGCCCTTAGTGATACGAATTCGGACAAGGTGCCATTTCTGCATACTTCATATCGGGATGCACCTACTAGCGCGATCAAAGCGTCGTAAAGAGATCGAGCTTACAGACTTGCTAAGCGTTGTTAAACTTCCCTCCAGATCGCTAGGCTTGTTTCGAAACGGACACGCTCACCTTATACAACACCGGGCGCATAGTTTGCTCATTTGAAGGTCAGAGGATAGATGCGCTCTGGACTGATATGTTAGGTTGTTTCAAAGTGCAATTTTTGAATAACAACTTCCAGTCAAAAAAAATTTTTTTTTTGTAAAACCATCTTTCTGAGCGCAGTAAAAACTGCTTGTTGGATAGTAGTCACTCCGACGGACATTTTCAAGCCCAAAAAATTCTAAAATAATAGTCGATTATCGGTTGTGCAAAGGAGTAAAGGACCTTTTGATTTTCCTGCAAGAAAATGTTGCAAAAAAGGTCGAAAAAACCCATTTTTTTCGCAATTTTGGAAAAGGCATGAACCTTCTTTGTTTGAGATTTTCTATTTTTTTCTCCTCTTAAGAGCGAGGATATTCTGCCACTTCACCTACCTTTAGTTTTATTAATTTCAGTCTAGCGTTACGAGCGAAAGTTGTACAATCGCTATTCGCCTGAGATTTGAAAGGTAGATGGACCCGTAGCGATCGACGTTTGAGTCAGATTTTTTCTGCCCAGAGTCTTCAGAAATTTAACATTGCTGACCATTTGTAGTACAAACTTCGCAATAATTGTGCATATCTTTGGAGCGAATCCGGCCCTTTTTGTCGAAAGTCTTGCCACTTCAATTTACAGATTTTTGACATACATCTTCCACTCCTGATATAACAACAAATATTTTTCTAGTTTGCAGAAAGTGGACGCTCAGTCCTGCAAATCGATATTGCCGTGTGGGCGGCGTTCGGCCCTACCGTGAGATTCGGCCCACTTTCGGAGCAAATTTCAGGCTTGGTAGGCCCTTTTTCGCTCCGAACTTCAGTCATCGCTTAGGTAGGGGGTCTACTATCACATCACTACGAGGGCCAGATACCCCCAGTCTGGTGGGACGCTGCCTTTGAGTCGCGACGTCTTTGTGGTTGTCCCATAGGCGCGCAGCACTGTTCGTTTCCCGATTGGACCCGGATATAACCTAGACCCGATCCGGATTCAACTCGGGCTGTGGACAAATAATGTCAATACCTCAAGATTCGCCATCATTAAACTAAGACTGTGCACTGGGTAGTCATTACTATCTGGTTGGCGAATGATCCCCAAAGCGTCAAAACCTCACTTTCGAGCCATGTTGATGGACCGCAAGTTTACTCAAGAGCACTAGCATCTGCGGTCCGGGCAAAACACCCAGAGTGAAAGTCTGTTTCAGGATATTTTCGTCAAAGATTTGGCATCCTTCCGGGCGATGAACGGAAGAAAAGTGGTAGTCGGGCAGGATATATAGGGCCTGCAGGATCGCGAGAGTCGGACGTGCGTACGGCCATTGCGCCGCGCACGTCAGATGTGCGCCCGACGACTCAGGTAGGTGCCAGACTTATCCTGTTGAACAGGTTCACTCGGTTCACCACCTTTGCTGTTGGACAGTGTAGTGATTTGATTTGACCTATGAACCGAACGAACCGGCTGAAGCAGACAAGTCTGGCACCTGCCTTAGTGACATGAGACGTGCGCAGTCATGCAGGCCCCTATAGCTTGTAATGCATGACTAATATGGCTCAGCCCCGTCCACAAAAACCTTATCTGTGGGGAAATTAAGTTAGTCATCTAGGCGCTAACTGTCATCCTAACCAAAATATTTCCACAGAAAAATTTTGTAAATTTTGAGCAAGTCTACCTTAAATATTCTGTGGATCTAACGTTTCGTAAACAATGTCTTCTCGTAAGTCCAAAAGTAAGTCACTCATCTTTTGATGTAAAATGTAAGACCAAATCATTGTACCAAGCCTAAGAGACGCAAAATTCTTTAGCATAACTAACAAAGTAATGTTCCTTGCGTAATGATTTCTACACAGGCACGTGAGAAACAAATTCACATATCCTCTTTCTCATCCCTTCTTGCCAGTAAGTGCTGGAAAGATTGCGACTTCGGCTGGTTTCGCGGATCCTCTTCTGACTTCCGCATAAAGATCATCCTGTAAACCAATCACAGTTTCTTCCACCGGAATCTCCCTCTATTCCATCCTTGGTCACTGAATGACTGAGCTAGCAAATAGTTAACCTTTCGCAGGAAGATTGAAGACAGAGGACATTCGCTGTAACAGTCATGTAAAAGTAAAACTACAAACCTTTGTTTGGAAATTAGAGTTTTAACAATGCAATCGAGCATGAAAATAAAGCTTTATTTTTTCTTTAAATCGCACAATTGATCGAGAAGCAGGTTTTCTCATCCTATCAACATGCTTAACAATCCGCCGAGCAGTCCCGTAAGAGGATCTGAAGTTGTAGCAGTAATTTTCTTTGTACTATATACTTCTTAATAAGTTATAACGTGACAACTGAATAACAGCTCTTGCAGTGCTGCTTTCATCGTCTTTGCCTATAGGTAATAAATAACTCACTCGTGGTTCCAAGTTCTCCCATCCCCATCATTCCCATTGGCGGATAGGACGCCATCATACCGGGATACCCTGGCATACCAAGCGATAGGCCGAAAAGTTGGGTGTGTGCAGGCAGGCGCAAGAAGTAAAATTGAAATAAAGAGTAGCTTCATTATTTCTAAAATGTTATTATATTAACCAAATTTACTTCAGAACGGAGATGTACATGCTTCTAAAGGGGAAGCTACCTAACTTAGTTCGCGCTTTTGGAATAAGACACATATATTTAAAATCAGCCTGGAACGCTGATGCCAAATATGCTGTTCCCAGGTGCCACGCTATATTCGGAACGGAGTTACAAGGACCTTCTTTCGTATAACTCCTCCACCGGTTAGTCCAGCGAAAACTCGAAAATGACCAATAGAGGTTGTGCGGTAAAGTAGTAAGTGTCTCATTTGTACGCTAAGGGTCCGGGGTTCGAGCCTGTTGGACGTTTTCCGTTTTGCAAAGGTAGTCCACAAACCCAAACATGATCCACAATTGGTCAATCATGTCTACGTACACTTTTAGGCTGACCACTAAACACTTTCAAAGGCTTGCAAAACGAAAAACGACCAACAGGACTCGAACCCTGGACCCTCATCGTACAAAGCGATGATACTTACCACTTTACCACACGACTTCTATTGGTCATTGTCGAGTTTCCCTAGGTTTGCCGGTGGAGGAGTTATACAGAAGGAGGTCCTCGTAACTCCGTTCCGAATATAGCGTGGCACCTGGGAACAGCATATTTGGCATCAGCGTTCCAGGCTGATTCCAAATATATGTGTCTTATTCCGAAAGCGCGAGCTAAGTTAGGTAGCTTCCCTCATAAGCACGAATCAAGAAAAGGCAAGGGAGGTCATTGCAGGAGGAAGAATGCAAATTGCTTTCAAAAAAAGCTGTTGCGCAAATAAACCTGAAATGCGCAATCGATTAATGTGTTCATTTTCTTGGAAAGCACTGTGACTCTGTATGTTGATGTACAGCGTAATAACAAAATCTGTCAATGTCTTATTATCAGGAAATAGATTTCGCCGCATGTGCGCTGTCAAAACCTTGTGACATGAGTGCCTACGTAAGATCGACCACGCAATGTTCTGACAATAAGAATTACCACACAGAACCAGTTGGCATACCTACCTATTTCTAAAAAGATTATTAATTAAAAATTGTGAATAGATGAGCAACGAAGATCAGATGCTATATAACTCTAAATAAACGCTGCTGAAAATCACAGCAGCGTTATTTAGAGTTAAAAACCATTCGATGAAGAAACAATGATTTTATTAGTCTCCTGTGTACTGTATGTAGTTGAAGTAACTCATGTACTCTCTAATGAGACCTTGCTTTCTCTCTCCATGCTCTGAGTGCATGGGAAATTGTGAAGAGGGCATTAGTTTGATTTTGAAAGTTTGAGGCCCAAAAACTGTGCAATAAAATCCAAAAGAGCAAGTGACCAAGGTTTTTTGATCCCATCTTCCTAGCTGAGCAAAATTCGCCCTATCGAGCTCTTTTTTAAATAGTTATAACCTTTGGAAAAAAGTGCCAAAAAACGGTTTCCTGAAAAAATTGAATTTTTGTCATTTTTTCTCAAAAATCATAACTTTTCAAAGAACGGCTCC